GGGGTAGGCATCGAGTTGGGTATGGGGTCGGCTCGGGGGTGGCGTTGGGGGTGCACAGGAGGGTCACGGGGTGAGTCGGCGTGGGCATGGGGAGAATGGGAGGAGCATGGGAGGAGCGTGGAGCGAGCCAGTGTGGGCATGGGGGGAGATAGGGTGGTCACGGTGGGAGGCACAGAAGGCAGGGTGGGCATTGGGGGGCACAGGGGGAACTGAGCTGGGCACTCACCCTCCATTCTGACCCTCTGCTCTGTCCCCACAGGTCACCAAGGTTCTGGGCAGGACTGGCTCCCAGGGACAGTGCACACAGGTGAGCCATGTCTGCAGGGAGAGGACATAGGGAGGGACCCCCTGTCGCCTTGAGCTGAGAGAGGCAGAGTCAGAGGAGGTGTTAGAAAAACATGTTCACTGTTGGGGTGGTCAGGAATTGGGGTATTGCCCAGGGAGGTGGTGGAGTCACCATCCCTGGAGGGGTTTAAAGGTGTCTGGACCTGGTGCTGGAGGATATGGTTTAGGGGGTACAGCTGTGACAGGTTAACAGTTGGACTTGATCTTTAAGATGATGATGTAAACTTGATGATGTATGAGCCAGCAGTGTTCTCTGGCAGCCAGGAGGGGCATCATGTCCTGGGGGGCATTGCCAGAGGGAGGGGATTGTCCTGCTCTGCTCTGAGCTGAGGCAGCTTCACCTTGAGTGTTGTGTGCAGTTTGGGGCATCACAGTACAAACAGGATATAAAGCTGTTAGTGTCCAAAGGAGAGACACAAGGATGCGGAAGGGCCTTGAGGGCCATGTGAGGATCAACTGAGAGCACTTGGGTCTGTTCAGCTGGAGCAGAGGAGGCTGAGGACAGAGCTCATGGCTATGTGCAACTTCCTCCTGAGGGGCAGTGCAGGAGCAGCTCTGAGCTCTGCTCTCTGGGACCAGGGACAGACCCGAGGGAGCATCTGGAGCTGTGTCAGGGGGTTGGGATGGATATTGGGAAAGGTTCTTCCCCCAGAGGTGTTTGGGCACTGAACAGCTCCCCAGGGCAGTGGGCACAGCCCCAAGGCTGACAGAGCTCCAGGAGTGTTTGGCCAATGCTCTCAGGCACAGGGTGCAGTGTTGGGGTGTCCTGGGCAGGAGTTGCACTGATGATCCCTGGGGGTCCCTCCCAGCTCAGGATACCCTGTGGTGCTCTGCCACCCCTGATAACTGCACAATTCCATGCCATCCCACCCCACAGGTGCGCGTGGAGTTCATGGACGACACGAGCCGCTCCATCATCCGCAACGTGAAGGGTCCTGTGCGCGAGGGCGACGTCCTGACCCTGCTGGAGTCGGAGCGCGAGGCGCGGCGGCTGCGCTGAGGGGCCTGGGCAGCATGGGGGCCCTGGCACTGCAATAAAGGGTTTTTCCAGTAGCCCCTTGCCTGGGTGTGTCTCAGCCAACGCCTGGGTTGTGCTGCCCCGAGGCTCAGCAGGGCCAGCAGCACACCCTGCTTGTCACTTGTAATGCCTCCATCGTGACGCTGCTCTTATGCCTCCTTAGTGACATGTCACAACATAAAGAACTCTGCTTTGCTTGCAGCAGTCTTAATCTTGACCTTCCTGGTATGAGATTTTCTGTATGGGCCTGGTACAGTGGCACTGGAAACTTGGTGGACCTCACTGGAATTGAATCACAAGTTGAAAGTCAAGCAGTACCAGCTTGCAAAGCAACAACCTCCTGCTTCTGCCTGTCCTCAGTGAGCTGCTCTGTGAGTGCTGCTATAAATACACCTCCTTGCTGGCTTTCCTGGCAGTCATCTGCAGGGAGTGAGTGCTTGTCTGCCCCCTTTGATTTACTGACTCCTCTGTATCACTTTCTCCTTTAGTTTTCCCTTCCACCACACGATCAGCAAGATTTGATTTAGGATATTACATAAAGTAAGACCGAAAGGATTAGGAATGAGTTGGAAGACTGTCCTGGTTCAAGGACCATCTTTAGAGCGGTCCTGGTTTTGGTGTGTTTGAGCACAGTCGGGTCTGCAGCCCCTGATATTAGTGTAGTGTCCTGAGCTTGACTGAGGCACTCAGTGGTAGGTGTGACTGAGGGTTTGGGTGTCCTAAAGCCAAGCAGAGCACTGCTGGGACAGGTGTGCAGTGCAGCAGACAGGATTGCTGTAGGGTGGAGTGTTTGTGGGATTTTTCCCTCCTGCTGGTGTTGGTTGTGCCCTGGGCAGCTCTTGGGCAGCTTGAGGTGGCTCAGAGAGCTGTATCCCTTCTGGAATATCCCTCGGGATCCCTCGCATGGCCATGTGAGGGAGGTGATTTGCATCCCCACTGCTGAGTGCTCTTTAATGACAGTGTCATACCAGGGGTGGCAAAGGGCTGTGGCTGGGCCCCGTGCCCAGCTTGGTGCTGTGGGGTGAAACAGGCCAAAGGCACCAAAGCACCTGCCTGGGACAATTCAGCTGGAAGGAAACCAGGCTGAAGGATGTAGCCAGTGTGTGAACGTGCAGGGAATGACTCAGAATGTGCTCAGGCTGTGCCTCCACCGAAGCTGTTGGAGGTTTATCGTGAGCCAGACGAGGAGGCAGAGACTGCTAATGGTCAGTGTGATATGTCAAAATAATTTTACTTTCAGTTTTATTTAGATATCTTCAAAATGGACATCAGTATTAATACCAATGAACAGGAAGGAGCGTGTTAGAGTGGCGGTGAGCGCTGTGCATTAACCAGTGCAAAGCTGAGATGGTGCCCAGAGCAGTTCTGGGGTGTTTCCCAGCTCAGACCAGGCCTGGCAGGGGCAGGAGTGCTGGGGAAGAGCCTGGGCCAAGGAGAGCACTGGGGGCTGTGATACTATACCGTTGTGAAGGGCTCAGAGCAGAGCTCATTCCCCTGCAAAACCCTTTCTCTCTTTCCTCCTGGTCCTTTACCTTACCCTGTCTGTTCCCACCCTGCTCAGTGCTCACACACTGACACACACACACATTCTCTGACATACATGTTCACCTCCACAGGCCCTACCTGTGTGCTCTGAGCTCTTCTGGCCCATATTCTCCCTGTGCTGTCCTCAGTTGCTCTCCTGCCCTTTGGGAAGGAAAGTGGGCAGAGAGGGACTTGGCTGTGGGCTCTGCCTGTCTGCACAGCCCATAGCTATAGGACTGGTTAAACTGGGAGGTGTTTAGGAGGTAATTGCTCTCTCCCCTGGGAGAAGAACCCTTTCCCCACGTAGGGTATCAGCTGGGCAGTCTCAGCCCTCAAACACATCCCTCAGTCCCTTCTCTCACTTGGCTGCAGCTCCAACTACCCCAAGGTTTTGCTCCCATTGAGCAGATCAAATCCCAAGTGATTCCATGTTGAACTCCAACCTTTGACCAAGCAATATAAGTTTTTGCTTTGTGTGCATGTGCTAGGAAAAAAAAAATCAGATTTCAGCCAGGAAAGGAAATGCCAGAAAAGAAGGGCAAGAATTTGAGTCTGGAAGTGCTCCCAGCCCACGTCTGAGGCAGCAGTAAGCAGCTGGAGTCCCTCTCCCCTCGCTGTGCAGCCAGGGGCCAACACTCGCCTCCCTGCTCCGTGTCACCGGCTCCACTGCCTCCTTGGAGCTGCCACAGAGCAAAACCAGGTGCTGTGTCTCTGGGTTTGTGCTCTGCTGTGCCTGCCGGGTTTGTTCTCCGCTGTGCCCTCCTCGCAGAGGGCTCAGAGCTGGCACAGCTCCAGCTGGCAGCAGAGGGGTTGGAGTGGTTTCTGCTCCCTGCGTGTCCCACCCTGAGGTCACCTGGCTCCTGCCACGTGCAGCAGTGGAGGCAGACGAGGGAGGCCCAGGGGCTGAGGCTGCAGAGAGCGATTCGGCACAGAGGGGTGGCAGGAGAGGGGGCAATAAATCACAGCCCAGTGCTGATGGGGGCCCCTGGCTGCATCCCAGGGTCACTCTTAACTTGATTTCTTTGGGCTCCCAGGGCTCTTCGTGGCTGCTGGCGACGTCCCTTGCTGCAGAGAGAGCAGAGGCATGGCCTGTCATCAGAGACCCTCTAGTGACTCCTGGCCAGGGCCTCCAGGGCTGTACCGACCACGTGGCACTTGGGACGTTCTGCTCCTGCCCCGGCAGCCCCTTCCCAGGGACCCTGGTGTGTCCCAGCCCTGTCCCCTCCCACAGGGCCACCTGTGTGGCTCAGGCAGGAGCCAGGGGATGCTGTGGTACTCACGGGCAGCGGTGCCTTGGTGCCATTGAGGTGGGCATAGAGGAGCGCAGCAATGTCGTCGTGTCCGGCCTCGAGCGCGATGGCGACCGCGTTGTTACCATCCTGAAAGGGAAGGGAGAGCGCGTGGGGATGGGTTTGGGGTCAGGACACGGCGTGGGCTGCCCGTGGCTGGTGGCAGAGCCTTACGTGGTCCTCAATGGAGATGAGCAGCAGCTTCACAGTCTCGACGCGGCCGTGCTCGCAGGCGCACATCAGCGCCGTGGAGCCCTCCTCGTCCTGCAGGTTCACGTCGGCCCCGCAGGCGAGCAGAGCTTCCACCATCTCCTGGCGGCCGTGGCTCC